CAATTTTAAAGTATTATAGATAATATAAAGACTTGCATGTACAGCAAGCAGACGGTGGTGCACATCCACCGCGTGCGGTCGAAAGCGAACAGCGTGAGCCTCGAGTGTGACGTCACCACGTACGAGGCGGGCGTCAGTCTGACGCACGCGCTCGTCTTCCAGGGCAGAGCACGTCTCTGCAACCCCAAGATGCCGGTATGTACATACGGACATTTTTATATTACACTAGCTCTCCTGATTGTATAATAATATATAGAAAATGTTATTGTTATATACATAATTTCCTATATTGTATTTATAGTACCCGAAGAATATAAACGCTAGTCAGAAACCGAAGCTATTTATAAATAATAATGATTACAAACTGAAAACAGTGGAAGAGGTCTACATAACTAGTATAACAAGTCCGGACCACTTTTACGTGAGAAAGGTAAGTAAATTACTGTGTTTGTAGATTCGTATCCCTTGTATTGTAAACATTTTTGAATTTTTATTATTTTTCAGTTACATCTTCAGAGTGTATATGAAAAACTATGTGAAGATCTAGATCAGAATTACAATATAAATGTCAAAAAGGGCAGTATCTATCTACCTGAAAAAGGTAAAGATTTATTTTACTTGTATACATCTATGCATGTTAGTAAATAGATAAACATAAAAAAAGATTAATACGAGAATCTCTCTCTCCCTAATTCCACTCACGTAGTTTTCGTACTCCTGTGGGCCTAGCACCATAACGTGACAAGCGCCGTGGTATCGTCATAGACAGACAACCAAAAATCTCCACTTATTATTACAAAATTGACGATGACGAAACTAAGGCGCTTCACATCGTCATCTCAGTCGCCACAAGTTTATTGGTAATGTAAGACGAGAATATAAGAAGAGAAATGTCTGAATGTCTTTGATAGTTTGTGAACTCGACCAAATATAAATCAAATTGGCTGAGATTTTCTTTAACGCACTCTCAATAGGTATTTTTAACCGACTTTTAATTCCTCTACATTTTTATTATCAGACATGGTGTGCGTGGTGAACCTGGAGAAGTACGAGGTGCCGGACGCGAACACAAGTGAGGCACGCGTGACGTGGGCGCGCGCCATCGTGACGGAGCTGCCGGGGCGCGGGCGCGTGCGTCTCGCGCTGCCCGACTGTGGCGCCACCTTGGTCGCGCACTGGAGCGCGCTGCGACGTATCCTGCCCAAGTTCACTACGCTACGAGCATTGGTATAAGACTTTTCAAACATCTTGGCGACTCAGTGCCCTTTCTACGTATTCCTTTATGCCCTGCTAACTTTTGTTGTGCTCGGCAACTCTCAAACCACCAAGATATATGACAATCTCTATAATAGATTAAAAAAAGCCCATCTGACTTGTTGTCTTGTACTCTAATTATGACTTGAATCGTAAATTTTAATTTAAGGGTACCCAAGGATATGTATTGAAATTGATTGGCATACGTACATCATTAGAATAAATACAAAATTGTTATTTGAAACCTATATATCTTAGAAATTAAATTATTAAAACATTGGAAGCATTTCTCACAATAATTTCTATATTTTTATAAATTTGTTAGGCCACAGAATGCCACTTGGCGGGCGTGACTCCGCTGAACAAGAAATGGAGCCCTAACTCTGTGGCGCTGCTGCACACGTTCCGCGGTCGCCCGCTAGATCTGCACGTCGACGACAACCGCAATCTCTCCCTCGGTGTCACTCTCTACGACAAGACAGAGCCAGAAGTCGTGTGTGTTAACACTCAAATGGTCAAATACAAATTTGCTGTCATTATTGGGTATGTAACACTTTTTTTTATATGTGAGCATAGACAAAAAGTATTGTGTTTAAAAAAAATTATACATGGTGCCAAATCGTACAATCGTCTTACTTTTTACTAATATTATAAATGTAATTGTTTAGATGGATGGATGGATGTTTGTTTAAAGGAATCTCGGGTAGTCGCGGGCGACAGCTAGTTATGCATAAAATTTAATTTTTACGTATGGTAACACAATATCAAAGTTTGTGGTGTACTAATTTCTCGTCTTTCCAGTACATTCATGTTCAACAAAGAAAATGTATTACAAGACTGTGTTATCACAAACAAATTGCCGGTCGATCAAGAGAAATCCCCGGAGAAGTCGAAGAATAAAACGAATAAAATAAAAGTGTTAAAGAAAGAAGAGTTGCCAAAATGTACAGTGAAAAAGGAACAACTGGAGGCAAAAGATAAAGGTCCTCTGAGACTGGAGGCCAAAGTTCTGTACTATCAGTCGCCTTCATTAATTTACGTGTCACTTGTTCATCAACAGAAGACATTTAATACTTTATTTGAGAACATACAAAAACATTATTCAAAGAAGAAGATTCAAAGCAAGAATAACTGGAATGTGGGAGATAAATGCTGCACGATGTGCCGACAGTCGCAAACATGGCGACGTGCTACCATACTAGACTTACAAGGCGACGATGCCAAAGTGTTTTACTCGGACTTTGCCTGTGTCGAAACTGTTCCCATTACAACTTTGAGGGAACTAACTCAGGAATTCTCCGCCATCGGCTATGCTGCTATGAAGTGCCATCTGTCTGGTGTCGTGTCCGCAGACGGAGAGGACTGGCCGTCTCTCACCAAGGAATATTTAAAGGAATTACTTGATGCTTACAAGAGAGTGTTCATTACGAAAATGGGAAACTTCAAAGACATGAGTATGCCTATAGAGATGTGGGTGTACCACACGATACAAGGAAGTGCGCTCGAGCCCAACACGTCCGAGTGGCGATGCCTCAACAAGAAAATCATTGAACAAGGATTGGCAATACCCGATAAATCTCAACAGGTATGTTTTTGAAAGGCAAATAGTCCTTAAAAGAACCAAATCATATTTATGTAATTGCTTACAATACCCTTCCTTTTCAAATTCACCACCAAATAATTCAATTAATAATGTTTTAGTCACTATTTTATTTTTAGGTCGAAACACCTAACGATAATGCAGATAAATCAGACGACAACATGCTGTCTTTCCTTAACGTTAAAGGCTCAATTGAAGAATGGCTACAACTGGAACCGATGCCCACGAAACCTCTCATTGTGCAATCAAATTCTGATCGTTCCAACTCATCGTCACCTGAATGCGAAATAAACTTTAGTGATGATAAAGCGAAGAAAGCTAACACTGTTTTCATATCTGATTGGATGCCGCCGGAACCACCGCCAAATAAAGAATTCATCGGTGTTCCAACGTAAGATTCTTAGAAGATTCTTAGAATTGCAATTCCTATATGTTAAGCTAATAATTTTTAATATTTAATGACATATATTTATGTATGTATTAATAATGTTTGATACCATATCTTTATACATAATAATACATATAACGAAACTTTGACAGGTATGTAGACAACGATGGCATCATATATCTCCATGAAGTATCACAACAGGAAACATTAGAAATGATTCAAAAAGCTCTAGATGTTCGGTTCAAAAAACCTGATCCTAAAGCAAAATACGCGTCTTGGTCAGTCGGCGAGCCGTGCATTGCTATGTACTACTTGGACGACAAATTTTACAGAGGACGTATATTAGAGGTTAACAAAGAAGCTTCTACATGCTTAGTGCACTACATTGATTATGGAAACGACGAAACATGCAATTTCTCTAACCTAAGAAAAAGTATCGCCCTTTACCAATTACCCACACAAGCGCTTAAATGTGTTCTAACACGCGTCGAACCCGCCGACAAATTCTGGGACAGACAAACATTGGATTATATGCACAAATCGATGGTGGAAAAGAAATGTTTTATTAAAATAACAGGAAATCCAATTGATGGGATTTATCCTATTGAATTAACGTATAATAAACTATTGTTTAACGATCATTTGGTTGAATTCGAAATGGCGAAGTACAGCGATGGCTCTAAAGCAGTTATAAGGAGATTCGCACCAATCGATAACCAACAGATCGAACTGGATGAATCCGCCACTATTGAATCCGATTCTGCACCTGATTATATTATTGAAGAGGATGATATAGAATCCGCAAACGACTCCTATTGTATGGAATTCTTGCAGGGCAAAGATTGGAATTTGTTAATACAGGAAGATAAAGAAAAACAGATGCTCTCAGGAAAATTTTTAACCTTTAAAAAGAACACTATTGAGAATTTCATTTGTAACATCACAGTTATAAATGATTTTAAATGTTTCGAATTGTTTATACTGCACGATGAAGCAACAATTAAAGAATACGAGGAAATGTTTGAAAAGCTGCAAAAATCTGTAAACGATATGCCGTCATTGAATGGAATATACGAGAACAAAGCTTGCGTTGCTATTTTCAACGAAGACGGTCAGTGGTACAGAGCCACCATTCTCCAGTACAGCAACGATACTAATCAAATTAAAGTCAGATATGTTGACTACGGTAATATAGAACTCGTAACGTTGGCTGACGTGAGAGAAATCAACAAGGAATTTATTAATTTGCCTCCATTAACGTTGTCGGCTACTTTGCACAACGTGCAAGTAAATCCAGCGATCGAAACTAGCGTTATTGCTGAAGAATACAAAAATACGTTCTTAGATAAAGGACCATTCAATGTTAAAATAATTCATAACGAAACCGAGATCCCTTCGGTGGAATTGAGAAATGAAAAATCAGAATTAGTTTATAAGGACCTTATTGCAAATAACACTTTTTTACTTTCCAGTAATGAGTAGTTTTGCTGAGCCGCCTATGTTTGATTTAGTATGTTATCCTATTATCACTATGTTAGAATTTAATTTCGTTTTTGTTATCTTTATGACTATTATGTTTTGTTCTCTATCAGATATCATTGTATCACTAAATACAAAAAAATTTAAGTATGAACAAGAGCCGATGTTTTTGTACCTTCATCCCACTCCCTGTTGGGCCTTATACAAAGTATAATGATTTTCGTGGATTCAGAAAGGCTTAGCACATCACTTATAAACTGCCTTTAGTAAAAGTCATAGTATGAACAATTATTTTAATGAAATTCAATTCCTAAAAGTATTCCGGTTTGTGTTTCGGACATATTGCGACGAGGCGTAGCGGCGCTCCAGTGCCTTTCGCAATTTTCATCGGCATCACTAACGCCGTGCAACCATGATCTACAAAAAGAAAAATTATTTAATAAAAAAACAACCCTTTGATTTCAAGATATGCAATATAACTTATATTTTATTTCAATTCCTTTTCACTATCTACGCCATGCCGTAGCCGCCAAAAATGTTATGTAATTTACTGGCAGTTAACGCTGTGATGTAAATTTATATTTACACGTGTAAATCTTACCTGGAATATGTCGCTGGAAATATACATTTTCAATATTGTAAAGCCCTGCTCCCAACAGTATTTTGTGCACAGGGAAATCAGTGCTTGATCCGGGATCGACAGACGCCACATCAACGCCTACGCCAACCACATTTTTATAACTCGAAACTATCCATTCAGCCACTTCGGCGCTCAGACCTAAAATTTTTAAAAAAATATGTAAAACGCGATATTCGAAGAACGATGTCACTAAAAGGTTCTGAGATGCCTGTAAATCAATGCATTCTGTAAATAACCGAGTATTTGGCCAATTCTTGATGCCATTTGTTCAAAAATTGACAGAAAACTTTACCTCGTTTTTGCTTTTCATAAAAAGTAAAATAACTTTACCTGGGAAATTTAATTGATCGTTATTTATTCCCAAATATTTCTTCTTATCCCAAAAGAATTTGCTCCAACCAAATTTAAAAATAATTAAACATGGTTTGCCCATGTTATCGTTCAACATGTAATCCATGTGATGCTTGTAGAGAACGAAATTAGGATCATCATTGACCTTAGAAGCTATGTCTACGATTATAACTGAAAACATAACATTTTGATATTTAAAATTACTTCCGATTTGTTAAATTAGGAAATGGGATTTTAACTCCGTTATCTATCGCGTAATCGAAAAAAGTTTACTTGAAAACGAAGAAAGTTGCAAACGTACGTGGTATTATAAGCTTGTTGAGTGGGATCTGTCCAACTTGCAGACCGTCGACCAAAAAATGGTAAGGAGCATCAATGTGTGTACCGCCATGCTCGCCAGCAGTAAAGTCATTCGAGGCGTACCTGTAACCCACATGGCATAACAAAACTACAGTTACAGACTTGACAGACTGATATCGGTCCTCGTGTATCAGAGACATTCCGCTGCTACTGAGGAGTAGCGTAGGAGAGAGCGATTAGGGAGGCCTAATCGCTCTGTTTTCGCAATGGTATAAGGGGTCGTACGTCGTAGATGGTCCATCTCACGGGTTATGGTCCCCATGCGTTTTGTAATCTACTTTCCCCCGTACTTCTAAGCACTTACTTATTTTGTATACAAACGTGACTAAACAGTTATAAGGCTGAGTTTTATCTACCAAATTAAGGAAAACCAAAATACTCATTTTCTCCTCTCTAAATCATTCTAAAGTAGCAACGAATCTACATCTCGAAGAATTGAGATACAGTTTCTTTTACAATTATTTGAATATAGCTTTTTGTATGAACGTAGTGCAAAATATATAAATGATTAGATCACAATTAAAGTATTGATTTGTTGACATAATATGGTATAGTCGTACGATAATACGCGATTAAATAGGCCAGAGGTCAACTTCAATACTATATTAGGTATATCAACCAAAAGGCGTAGAAATATTGAAAGGATGTCTTCGAAGCAGTACCAAGTTATTAAATAATATTGTCTGCTGGTTTGGCGACAGTTTTCCAGAAGAAAAGAAAGAAGATCAGATATATTAAATTAAGGCAAGGGTTTTTAGATACGAAGTAATGAGTAATTACCACTACACAAAACATGTTATATAGTCATAGCCTCTGGTTAAGGCTGATAATTATGCTGATGAAGCGCACACGGTTTTGGTTACACATGTATCACTCTTATAAAAGAAATAAATTGTGAAAAAACTAAAGAACGGTACTTATAGTTTACCATGACCCATCGCGTTGAAACATTGCGGTTTTCTTTGTAAATTGAAATTCTTGACTATCAGGCCAATAAATCGTTTGATTATCAAATGGATATGTTAAATCGATAAAATCGTAATCGCCATTAATTAAAACTTCATTCAAACTTTTATCCGCTAATATATAAGTACACAACAAAAAACACAGAGACACGGACGTTAGGTAAGACATTTTTAAGCAAACTATTTCTACTACTCGTTTCTTCGTATAAAGTAATAATTTTATGTAACTATTATTATAATTATAAGCTGTATATATATCCCTATATACTTA